AAAAAGAGATGAGATTCAACGCATCAAAAGTGCGAATCCGGAAATACCACATCGTGAAGCTTTTAGCGCCGCTGCCAAAAATGTAAGAAAGATACCAAGCTTTAATTTGTTTTCATTGATATTGGTTTCTTAAAATAATTTTATCTGTGTAACTGAAAAACGTCACAAACAGTGGGCTAAGTACATACCCAACTCTCCTACTTCCATTACTTCCGGAGGCAACAACATCAATGTAAGCTATACAAACCCATTCTACATATACGAAAATATTATAAATATATGTAAGAATAATTTGCTAAAATCTCTTCTAAAATGTTTTGTTTTAGGGTTTGGGATTCGGTGAGAAGAAGTGAACTACCTAGCAAAAGCCTAACATAATAACCGCACGTGTGCGAGACCGAACTTGGTGTTTAAACTACGGCTTTGTTTTTATCATTTTGTGTTGTTGTCTTAAGTTGGTGTATTTTTCATTTGTATGTCCTCATGTTGTTGCCTTAGTTTTATGACTTTATATTTCTCGGTCTGTCTTTTTATAGATTTGAAAGTTACGTTACTTGCTTGGACGTTTATGTAAGGAACTTTTTTTATTTGTCTTTAATCCTATCAAAATTTCTGCCTATTATTCGTATCCATCTAGGACAATAATTTTCGAAAAAATTTCAACTTTCAACATCGTAACATCGAATTCGAATACATCTCAGATAAAGTGTAGAACAAAACAAAAGGTTAAAAAAAAATCACTTTTCCAGCGAATATTCATTACATTTACAAATTGTTTGAAAAAGACTGAAACCACCCTGTGAAAGAAGCAGAGACATTGAAATCTGAAGTAAATTTCTTTAGAACAATTATTGACTGGTGAATAATAAAAAACAAGATCAGTACAAAAACACTTGTAAGTTGTGTGACTTGATCTACATTCCCCTAATCTAACCATCTCACCAATCCAATAAATCATCAAATCCCTATTTCACAAACTAACCAGACCATGCCGCAGCCTTGCTCTGTTCTCGCGCAGAACAGTTTCAAGAAACTCGAGCCGGGTTAAAGGAACTTTTTTTAGGAGCCAGGGAAATAGAGCTCATTATATTCCTGCTTCACCTCATCAGTGAAATTCCTCTGTTGCTCGATTCTTTGAAGATGCGATGATAGTTGCAATAGATCAACAGTAGATGATCCTTTTCCGTTACATGAACTAGACCCCAAACTGGTCTTGCCAGTATCGATCCACAACGGTTTCATCTGATGATAGTCTCCTGGTGAGTGAGTAAGATTTTGGATCGGTTGAGTGATAGAAAAAGTTTTGTTTGGAATTTTAGAGAAGTGTTGTTGGGACTGAGCTGACAGAAGAGAGAGAGCACGAGTAGAGCGTGATGCCGCTGTCTCATGTAAGTCCCAAATTGAGGATACACCGGAAGCTTCCGGTGAATAAATAGCTGGTTTAGATTCATAAATGTTGCTGCAGTTTTGCCCAATCGCAGGAAACATAGAGCAAGTAGGTTCATCTTTGAAACTCAAGAGCCTACTTGCGCGGTGGTCGTGCTCATCCATTACTCTGTATACGAGACTACCTGGTAATGACTCTGGCAAGACCAACGAGAAGTCATTGACCGATGAATTTTCCAGAAACTTGTTTCCTGCCACACCGGTTTTACACATATTTACAGGGCAAATCGAAGATTGTAAAATACAAAATGGATACAAGGAAACACATCGTTGACCTCAAATTGGTGCGAGTTTGCGATTTCAGTAATGGAAAGGAAAAGGCAGAGACTTTGTACCTTGAGATGTGTGAAGAAGCTTATGCCGCTTACTCGGTAAGAAATAGAATGAAGGCTTCCTTCTTCGCTCATTGTGACCGGCTAATCGCCTTCTGCAACTTCTTTTCCCATCATCAAATTCCGAGAGGAAATGGAACCTGCCCAAATAAAAAAAAGGAAAAGAAACAATCATGATATGTTAAACATGAAGCCAAGTAGGTACAGAGCCAGCGATAACTTGAGAGAAGAAGAAACAACGAACCTGCTGCACTGTTGACAAAATCTCTGTTCATTCCCGCTAACTATAACCACGGAAGTCTTTGAATGAGCCACGCAAACTCTATGCCTTTTGTAGTAATCTTTCAAAAAGCTCAAATCCATATTGCAACCATACACTTGACACAAGGGTTTCTGCGAGCACGAGTTTAAAGCTCGAGGCCTTTTACCAGGAACAGCAACACCTCTAGAGGAATTCCTGAGTTTGAAATCTATCCTAGTCAATTCCTGAGTAGTTGCTACATTAGAGAACTTTGAAGAAGAAGAAGATCGATTCTCTTCCTCCTCCACAGGAAACAAACTCGAAGGAACAACACAAGAAGAAGAAGAAGCCAATTTGCTAATGGAAACATCATTAAATCCATTAGACATGAAGACATGATCATTCTCCAATTCATTATTATTAGAGAGTCCCTGTTCAAATCCAGCCATAGCTTTTCGAGTTTGAGCAAACGAATCAGAAGGTAGGAGTGTTCCATTAGTCAAGAAATCGCTTCTTCCGTAACTCCAAGAATCCATACTGAGACAAAAAAGTGTTTTGCACAAATACAATCAGTACATGAAGAGCAAATTCAAGCTAGTGCTAATTCGATAAGTGATACAAAACCCCTAAATTAGGAACCTTTGGAAATTCAAAATTTTCCTTGTGAGTGAGAACGAGTCACCAATTCCTTCGATTGACACAAAACCCAGACGTAATTGACTGTAATATTCAAACCCCTTGTAGAAAAAACAAAATTCAATAATTTTCGTCAAAATCGGGGAAGCAATCAAACAAGAGGAGCTAAATCTCACAAAAATTTCGAGTTTGATATACAATTGAAAAAACTAAACAGAAGGCCCAGATCGTCAAGAAGAATTAGTAAGAATCCAATACCAAAAGAGAAAAAGAAAAAGAATCAAAATACTCACCGGTTACAATAAC